TTTGGCGACTAAGCCGTGATTTTAGCCTGACTAAATGTTAGATCAAGAAGAGTATAGTACCTGTTTCATGGAGCTTCTGGGCACTAATTCTGTCCAAAAAAAGCATTTCTTCATCATATTTTTGGAAAACAGTGTAGGATTCCCATTTAGGACAACTTCTTCTTGATGAAGATGAAAATGGATCATCAGTGCCTGATTGATCCCTATAATTAATTGAACTTCTCCATTCTGATGAATCTTTCGATGTTGATCCAATGGTCAAAGTGTCCCCAAAAATATCTTCTTCTTCTTTTTCTTGCATTAATTTCTTGCTCATTGATTTGGGTGGTTGAAAAACCAAGAAATCTTCTTCTTGCTTGAAATTAATCTCATTTTTCTGCTCATCTTCGACAATTTCACTGCCATACTTTTCTGGGACACAAAATCGGTGGACATTGATTCGAAAAAGGTAAATGATCAATGATGAGACTAGGGTAGAACTAGTGCCATAAAATAAATAAATAAATGAAAATAATTTTTTATTTTTGTTTTTTCAAAAATGATTTTGGATGAACAGGTTGGCTGAAGTGTTAAAAAATTTTATATTTTTGATTTTTTATACAAGTGGAACATATCTCGAGTAGTTCCTGATTTTTCTAGTTGAGTCGGCTTGTCCGATCCGCATCTCATGAGATTGCTTATGAGCTAGATGTAAATTTTAGAACTCAAAGTCTGCACATGCACATATTCTAGGTACACAATAGTGGACAACAATGTACAAGACAATGAATAAAATCTTTTCTTTCTTTAATCATTTTCGGCATGTCTTCTAGCGAGGATTCGACTGCACTCAATAATATTAAAAAAGAAAAAGAAGGTAAGATCTTGTTTATTATTCTATTTAGCTCCTATTTGGTAGTAAGTCAAAGTCAACAATTAATTTTAACTATATATTTTATGGTACCCACAATTTTTGAACCATATATTTCATCAACTTTAATGAAAATTTGTTAAAAATATGATTTTAATCCCCACCAAACAGGGGCTTAGTCATGTCTAGTACCAAATATCGAACATAGACAAACGAGTATTTTCCAATCCATTGTAAGTGAGAAATGAATTTGAATTTGCATACCTTGATGCCTCTCACTATTTGCCTCTAAGTTGTTGCCAGATTCTGATGTGGGGTTGTTGTCATCATTGGCTTCAGAATCACGAGGAGTATCAGTATCAGTATCTTCTACAAGAATCTCTTCCTCAAATACCTCTTCATGTTCATCAATACTCGCAAAACTTTCTCCTGAATCCAAGTTCTTCCCTTCTGAGATTTGATCCTCTTCGGCCACAAACCTCAGTGTTTCACTTATATTTGCTATCAAATGATCCTTAATTTCGTAGGGCTGATGATCAGTACCATAATATTCATTTTCTACTTCCATTTCCATTTCCTCATCAGAAGTAACGTAGAATTCATATCCATATTCCTGATTCCTGCAAGAAAAACAAGTACAAAATTATATACACGACCATTTGATTCTAGTCCAGTTCGGTCCATCACACGTGCAGACTTCTGGCCTGTATCGAGTCAGAATTTGACCGAACCGTGCCATATTCAGCCCTTTACAGAATTTTTACTAATGCCTGGTGGAAGGAGAAATTAGGATGGACGGAACTTAATTTTACCTTCGTGAAAATGGATTTCCTCCGAGGAAGATGAAAAGCTTGGCAAGGAAAATGGAAGTAAAATAGAAGAAAAAGGATAGAAGAAGAAAAGAACTCGAGACATTGTAGAATAGCCTGGCTATTGTTTCTTTAGGACATTGCATTTTCTTAATTCCTTTCGAGGAGATGAAGTCTCCAATTATCAATCCCTTAAACACAAAGCAATGCAAAGTGGAGTCTACAAAAGTGTGCTTTAATTGCTTTTGTAATTTTCTTTGTTTAACAAGATGGGCTTTTTTCCTTTGTCCAAAAAGACTATTTTGACCTATAATTTGCTTTTATAAAAAAAAAAAAAAAAAAAAAAAAAGGT